TTATATATATATATATTTTATATATATTTATGTAGTGGACATCCATTCATATATATATATATGTAGTGTTGTTAAATTGAAATTACTGAAAACGTTGATTCACTCTATGGTGCTTGTGCTCTCTTAACCTAAAGTAGTTATCAGGCATAAGTTTTTATATTACAGTTGACACTAGGCCACCTAAGTTGAAGTGACCACCCTTCCCCCCCAAGTCTATCTCTGGATTGAAAAATTAAATACCCCCCTCCAGACCCCCTCCACTCAGTAACCATAATATCTACTCCACTCCTCTTGCTCTACAATTCAACTTGAAAGGTAATTGAATAGGCCTATTCCCCATGCATCTGATGAGCCCCCCCCCCCATCTTCATATTGTTCATATGGCAACACTAAGAAAAAGGTTAAGAAAAAAAAATATATATCCCAAGGAAAAGCTTCATTTCATAAAATATTTATGATTTTTACTCATTTAACACAGAACAAAATTTTAAAACTATTTCATTGTAGAAGTATAATAGAAAAAATGGGGACATTTTTAGATTTCATTTCTTAAAAAGAGTGAATTTCTAAAGTGATTTTAGTCCCCACAGGTGTACTTGGAAAAAAAAGTCATGTTGTCAACAGCATTTCATACTTTCTGTATATTGTTAGACTAAGTAATTATATATAGAGAACATTTGATGATGCTAAATCTTTTTATTCAGGTTGCAAATGTACTTTTCCTGGAAGCACCAGCCTGTGTTGGATTCTCATATGATCCCAATGATGACTGTAGAACTGGTGATGATGAGACTTCACTCTCAAATTATTTAGCTTTACAAGACTTTTTCCTCCATAAGGTAAAGAAAAGCTATTATTGTGTGCTACTTATAAGTCATGCTGATATATATTTTTTTTAATAAAAAAAAAAATATTGATATCTTTAAGAATGCCTCCCTCATCAAACTTGATTCTTAACTATTATTGTATGTTCACCAGTTCCCAGAGTACCGCAAGAATGAATTCTACATCACAGGAGAATCTTATGCGGGTATATATGTCCCCACTCTGGCTGTTAGAGTGCTTGAGGGCCAGAAGGACTTCACAATCAACCTTCAGGGGTATGCCATTGGCAATGGACTCTCCAGCTATGAACTAAATGATGACTCCATCATCTTCTTCGCATATTTCCATGGCCTCTTTGGTGATGAGTAAGTTTCCAGTTTTTTCTTTTATCATTAATGAATTGTGCTGAGGGGAACTTGATATGAATAGCAGTGAAAAAATTAGTTTCTACTGAATTTTAGAATGTTTAAGAAACTGATTGCTACTCATAACCATGTGTCTGTTGATGTTTATCATACAAAAATAATATTTAGCAATTATTTTCTAAGAGAGAGGAGAGGAGAAAAAAGGAAAGGAAAGAAAAGAAAGGAAAGGAAAAGAAAGAAAAAGAGAGATAGAGATAGAGAGAGGGAGATAGATAGAGATAAAGAGAGGGAGATAGACAGATAGATAAAGAGAGGGAGATAGACAGATAGATAGAGAGAGGGAGATAGATAGATAGAGAGAGAGAGGGAGATCGATAGAGAGTGAGAGGGAGATAGATAGAGGGAGGGAGGGAGAGAGAGAGATAGAGAGAGAGAGAGGGAGAGAGATAGAGAGAGAGGGAGAGGGAGAGAGATAGATAGAGGGAGAGAGATAGATAGAGGGAGAGAGATAGATAGAGAGAGAGGGAGNTATTTTAAATTTCAATGAAAGTAAAACAGTTATATATTTTCTATTATCAAGTAGATTAATCATCTGATGGGTTTACATAAATAATTACTCTTTCTAAATGTGTAGATTATTATCATTTTTATTATCATGATTGTTATTATTATTATCATTCGATATAACTGATATTGATATCATAATTATCATTATAAGCATTATTATCATTATTTATTACTAACATTATCATTATAATTATTGTTATTATCATTATTATTATCATTATTATTAATTATTATTTTATTATTATTATTATTATATTATTATTATTATTATTATTATTATTATTATTATTATTATTATTATTATTATTATCATTATCATCATCATTATTATTATTATTATTATTATTATTATTATTATTATTATTATTATTATTGTTATTATTATTATCATTATCATTATTATCATTATCATTATCATTGTTATTATAATTTTTATCACCATCATCATGATCATTATTATTAATGTTTTATCATCATTATTATAATTATCTTTATTCCTTTTGTCATCATTATTACCATTATTTTTATCATTATCATCATTTTACACTCTTTGAACAACTGATTGTCATGTACTTGAATGGTATCAATGGGTATTTATACTAAATGACATTATTCCATCTGACATAGCAGCGCAATACACACACACATACACACACACACACACACACACACACACACACACACACCACACACACACACACACCACACACACACACACACACACACACACACACACACACACA